ATTTCCAGTGGGAGTAAATTGATCATGTTGTGGCCCACTAGCCTTAACTTGTTGATTGATTTGTGTTCCACTCCTAAGAGTTAACACATTGCAATGCTCTTTTCCATGCCCTTTAGTGACTTCAATATCACTTGGAAAACGTCCTTGCTGACGCTCTTGCAATGCCGTAGCAATCTGACTAACTTGACCTTCCAAAGCTCTCAGAGATGAGCTATGGTTATGCAGTAAGGTACCTTAACTATGCAATAAGGTGCCTTGACTATGCATTAAAACTCTTTGATTCTAAATTAAAGTAGAATGGTCTTGCAACATTATCTTCATAGTATATATGAACTCTTGAATTGTAGCTTCCAATGAACTCATGCTTGCTGAAGATGAAGCTCCTTTGTTGATATTATGCCATGGCATAGCATTTTGGTAACCTTGCAGCTCATTATGATTCTGCTGCCGAGTGTGTTGACTAGTATTGTGGGCTCCTTGATTTCCCCATGAGAAATTGGGATGCTGACGCCATCCAGCATTATAAGTGTTAGAGTAAGGATTGTTATTGCCTCGATTAAAATTACCTACAAAGTTGATGGACTCAAGGTTGGTTGGAAATTCGCTCTCATGATGATTGCCTTGGCATAACAGACATGCCAAGCTAGTTGCTTTTACTTCCTTCACATCAGTGAAATGTTGTAAATTTTTCAGTATATTGGTGATAGCTGAGAGTTGAGCGGACACGTAATCCTTGGTATCTAACTCAAATACTTCAGGTGCTCTCCTCCCACTCCCAAGCCTTGAGGAAGGAAACTGATAATCATTATTAGCTATTATGTCAAAGATAGCAAACACCTCAGTAGGTGATTTATCCATCAATGTCCCATTTGTCGAGGCATCCAGTAACATCCTCGTGGGTCATTGACTCCATTATAGAACATAACTACTTGAGTCCAATCGTGAAAACCATGATTAGAACACTTTTGAAGCAAACTCTTGTAACAATCCCAACACTCATACATAGATTCATCTTCGCCCTGGCGAAAAGATGCTATATCATTCCTTGGCTGAGTATTCATGTTTGGTGGGTTATACCGCAATAAGAAACTCTTGCAAAGATCGGCCCAAGATTCCATCGAACCAGATGGTACACCACTCAACCAAGCCCTTGCTCGGTCACGCAATGAATACGGAAACAACTTTAATTTCAGAATATCCTCATGCATTCCTTCTAGGGGAAAAGAATCACAAACTTCCATAAATTTCGAATGTGATGTCTGGCATCTTCAGTTGGCATACCCCCAAATTGCCCAATAGAATTCAACATGTTGAACATGACTGGTTTCAGCTCAAAATGTGCAGCTTAAATTTTAGGTGCCACAATTCCAGGATTTAAGTCATCTAGTATTGGATTTAAATGATCAAAAATAACGCGCGGCCTACCAGTAGGTTCAACATTGTCTAATGCCGCGACATTCGGAATTCCTTTATCTTGACCAATGCCTTGGTTTCCAATCTGATACATATTTCCTTAAGCACGTTGAGCACATCTCCTTTAGAGGTTTAAATTGAATAAACGATAAAGTATAATAAATGGTTTAGAAATTGTGTTTAAGACCAATTAGCAAGAATGGAAGAATGAAAGGGCATTTTAGTCCTTTAGAGGGAAATGGATTTTAAAATTCATTTTAATTAGGGTATTTAAGAAAGGAAGAAAGAGGAAAGTTGAAAAATAACTATGTCATCTTCTCTTCTTATCTCCTTCTTCCCCATTGCCCATGTTCTCCTCTATAGCCAAATGTAAGCCTTCATCAGCTAGTTTTTCCTTTAGCTTTTGGTTCGGTCTTGAAACCTTAAGTGACGTGGAAGCTTAGGAAAGGTTAAAGAGGAATGAAACTAAGAGATGGATGATATATTAGAGATTGAAGAAAATGGGTTTTTGAATGTTATGTTGAAATATGAGTTTTATTGAGGTTTACAAGTATATTTGACTATTCAAATAAGTAAATAAGATATTAGAAGCATTGGATGTGATTAAAAACATGTATGAAAAAGTTGTATGATTCTTGGTTTGGGATGTTATTTGGAGAATTTAGATGTTATAAGAAGCTAAATGGAGGAAAGTTAGTTGGGTTAAGTGATGTTAAGTTCAAGGGTATTGTTTGAGGTAAAAGTAAGAGATTTAAACAAAATTTGGGTAAAAATTGAGCTAAAAATGGAAAATATGGGTAAGGGAATAGGTACTAGAAGAACAGTATCGATACTATAGGTTTAAAATTGGGGAAATAGGATGAGTAGTATCGATACTAATGCAATTAGTATCGATACTAAGAGAAATGTATCGATACCATGGATTTCAGAATGCATAAATGGTATCGACACTGAAAGGTAGTATCGGTACCATAATATAGAAGTATCAATACCATGGTAGGGATACTGATACTATTGAGTCTGGAAATTTTAAGACATGATGAATTTTGATAGAAATTGAATAAAATAGTACTTTTGAGTATTATTAAAAGTATAAATGTTAGAGAGTATACTAACATTGGTATCGTATGTGTACTTAATGGATGCTTGTATAGATCATAACCAAGCTCCTGAGTCAAGCAAGAAAAAGGGCAAAGATAAAGTTGTCGAATAGTCAGAAATCATTACAGCATATAAGGTGAGTGCATTTATTGCACTTGTATAAAAAGAGGAGGACTCACGATGAGTCAACCTCGAATGTTTTGTTAAATGTATATTTTACAACATTTTGGTATAATTTTGTAACGTATATATAAATGATATTATGAATAAGTTTTAGAGTATGAACTGCTCTAATATGAATGGATGAATGTTAATGTTGTACAATGGTTATCGATATTGCAAAAATAAATGCATAACGGGGCATTTCGGCATAAAAGATGCCATTAATGACAGTTAAATGCATAACAGTGTATTTAGGTATAAAAGGTGCCACTAATGAAAATTATTGCACTTGTATAAAAAGAGGAAGACTCACGATGAGTCAACCTCGAATGTTTTGTTAAATGTATGTTTTACAACATTTTGGTATAATTTCGTAACGTATATATAAATGATATTATGAATAAGTTTTAGAGTATGAACTGCTCTAAAATGAATGGATGAATGTTAATGTTGTACAATGGTTATCGATGTTGCCAAAATAAATGCATAACGGTGCATTTCGGCATAAAAGATGCCATTAATGACAGTTAAATGCATAACAGTGTATTTCGGTATACAAGGTGCCACTAATGAAAATTAAAATCATAACGGTACATTTTGGCATAAAATGTGCCACTAATGAAAATTAAATGCATACCGGTGCATTTCGGCATAAAAGGTGTCACTAATGAAAGTTACATGCATAACGGTGCATTTCGACATAAAAGGTTCCATTAATGATAGTTAAATGCATAACGGTGCATTATCGGTATAAAAGGTGAATGACCATTTCGGCACTTCAGTGCAATGCATGTACCCTACGTTCTCATTTAACATACATTAGGCAAAATAAAGGATAATTGGGAAATATATACAGAAAAATAGGTATGCTGGGCATACTAAGAATAGTTTTGATGACTATTTGAAAGAAATTTGGTTTAATTGAGATGGTTAACTGATTCTTATGGAGTATATTATTTAGTTTGTATTTCAATAACCATGATATACTTATGTATAAATTGCAGTTTATTTACAATATATTGCCTCTTTAAGCAAATACTTAGCTTGTGTTAATTCCACGTGCAGGTAAGAGCAAAGACTAGCCGAGTAAGGAGTGCAGCAGCAGTTATCATCAATCCAAGGTTGACTCATCAGTAACAGTAGGCAATCATGTCTATTTTGAAAATTTGCTAGCATGTATTAAAAATTCCCCTAAATTTAAGGATTAAGTATGAAATTAATCCTAAAATGGATGCTCTATTATTAACCTAGTCAATTTTAATCAATTATTGAATCTAATAATTAGAAAAGAACCACGAGTAAAAACGATGACCAAATTAAAAATTCCCCTAAAATTAAAAGAATAAGTTTGAAATTAAGCTTAAAATGAAGACTCTAATTATTAATCTAGTTAATTTTAACCAATTTTTTGATTGAATAATTAAAATGAAACCTCAAACAAAAGCGATAACCAAGTTAAAATTTCCCTAAAATAAAGACTAATTATAAATCGAACAATTAAAAAGTTAAGGACTAAATTAAAAAGAGTCTAAATTCAAGGATTCAAATTAAAATCTAAGTGAGCTATTTAGGACAAAATTGAAAGGATACAAATAGTAAAGGTAATTAAAAAATATATAAAAGGACTAAACTAAAATAATTTAAAAATTCGTGGTTAAAATCAAAGAGCAAGGATAGTAACTAAAATAAAACAAAACAAAATATAAAGTCAAAATTGCTAATAAAAATCAGAAATTAACAGACTGAAATGTAAATTCTGGAAATTGAAGGTAAAAATAAAAATAAAGAAAAATAAAGGATTGAAATGTAAATAATAGAAAATAAACAATCGAATAAAATTTAAAGGTTAGAAGCTAATTTTAATTGTTACTTTGACCGTAAATAACACGAATCATACCCTAGGGCGGGTCATCCCGAGATCGTAAAATTAATTCGAATATTTTTTAGAAATTAACGGTTAGTAAATTAGTAACTTAGCGGTTAGAAGTTAGAAGTTTACTCGGATCATAATAATTCGGATCATAGCCTAGGGATGATCACCTCAAGGTCATAAATTAATGTTTAATATTAGTATTTTAATAGAAGGGACTAAAATGTAGTAAATAATAAAACAGTAGCTAATTTAGAACAAACAGAATAACAAAACAGATGACTAAATTAAAATTAATCAAAAAAGCATGCCAAATTCAAAACAGATAAGAAAAGGTGAAATCAGTGGCCAAAATAAAAGAACATGATAATTGTGGGATTAAAAGAATGATTAACCCCTAAACGTTTAATATAAAGCTAAAGTTTGTTAACAAAGACTAAAATTAACTCAGCCGCCTCCTTTCCTTAGTAAGCTTCCTCTCAACTCTCTTTCACTCTTTCTCGTCGTTTGAAGAACTACAAAGGCCAAACCAGCCGGCCACCAGCCACCGGAGGCTATCCTCTCATCTGCCGCTCGGTGAAGACCAAACGACGGCCTACAAGACCAAAAAAGAGCCCACTCGACCTTCTAACACCTTATCTACCCTTGGTCGAAAACCTCCAAACCTTTACACCGCTGTAAATCGACGTCTCCAATCACCAACCACATACCACCATCGTTTTAACCGCAGCCTAGATCTCAGCAAACCCCAAGCCTTCCCTTTTTCGTCTAAACCCCAAAAAAGAGCCCCTAAATCAACATGCAAACTCCATAGACTCTAAAGCTTCCAACGATGGCCGACGATCGACGAGTGACCACTGTTCGACGAGGAGACTGGACTGATAAGGTAAATGACCCCCTCTCTTTCTTAATACTCTGCTTTGGTTTCGAAAAAAAAAGTGAGAAAAGGGCTACTCGAGGGTTGAAAGAATGTGGAAAAACCCTTCAGAAACTTCTGATGTTTTTATTGCTTAATCTTTTTTTCGAATATAAAAAAAAACTCTTACATGGATCGTTTTTTTGAAGAATCGGGAAGAACGCTTGGGTTATGTTCTTTTAATCAAGGGAGATGAACCAACTTACACTGTTTTTTTTCGAGAGAAAAAGAAAAATGGCAGGAAAAAGAACACCTTTTTGAAATGTTTTGGTATATAGCTTGTGTTTTTGTGTAAAAGAACCAGGGACCAACCTCTATTACAATATTCTTTGGGGTCTTTATAATCCCCTGTTACCAACGAAACAAAAAAAGAAATCATTTTTACAGTTTTCTCTTTTGTCTGTTTGTGCTTGCATTGCTGTTGATGAGGCACGAAGCTATTCGGGACCACTGTTGTATGCGTGGTGAAAAGAGGCTCGGTTGAGGAGGCTGGGACCACCACGGAGCTGATAGTGTTTGAGGTTGCTGTTTTGTTTGATGTTGACGCGCGTGCATTGCTGGGACGTAGCTTAGGACCACTGGCTGGCGGCGACTGGACTTCATTTTCCCTGTCATTTAGGGTTTTCATCTCAACGGTTGGATCATCATAAGATCCAACGGTGGTGATCAAAGCGGTTGAAGGATTAAAATCCCAAGTTTCTTTGGGATGGCAACTGTGGGCCTCTGTTGGGTCTTAAATTGTATATAGGCTTTTGGATTTTTAAATGGGTTGGTAGAGAGTTTAATCTTTGTAATTGGACACGAGTTAAATAAAACTTGTGTTTGGGGTTTATACATGGACTAGTTTTTAATTATGGAATTTAGTGGATTTTTGTATTGTTTGGTAAATGGACTTTGGACCGGTTTAGTTTGGGTTTATTTGGCTTGGTGTTTTGTTTTGTATCCACTATAAGATTTCAAATTAAATTTTAATTCGGACCCCAATTTCCAAAACAAACATGTATGATTACGACCCATTAAGCACCAAAATCTTCAATGTTAAACGTTAACCAAATGAAGAATCCCATGAACCATTTCCATATATGCCACTAGTGCCACTTGAAACAATCAATGTACAAACATATTCGAATTAGTTCTTGAATCTCTTCAACCTGATTTAAATTTTTTGGATGAAATTAGGTTATTACAATACGAGAACGAAGGGAATCAAAACAATGGCAGTGAAAGCACTGGATCGTCTCAAGCAAAAGATTATGGGAAAGTTAAACTCAATCATACAATTAACAATGTCAAAGCAATAAGATTGATGCGTATGGCATTAATTTAGCGGGTTCTACATCTATCGATGGCTCTCACCCAGAAACTCACAACAATGTTATATCTCTATATCAACTCAAGCAAATTTACTAAGTATCCTACAACAATCAGTCAATTAGATCTCTTTATGCTTAAATGTTGCTCTCACAGTTTTTAATGCTCTTACAATGACACTCATATCTCGTTGTAGTGATTGGGCAAATATATATCTCTACACTAGATGCCTTAATAAAATCGATCAAACATCAGTTGAATCAATATAAAAAAATAATGAACCATGAAGTTCATAAAATAGATTGAAAAATATAAGCATTCAAGGGTTAATAATTCCCACACGAATTAAAGAGTATTTCAACTATGCAAAAATAAAATTCCATCTAGGTCATCTATCGTTGTTGTTGCTGAAGATATTGTCAATCACCAGCCCCAACCCTCTTAGGCGCGACGCTGCTACCATATTCGATTGTTGCTCTTCCTATAATTGCTTAGGTTACCATGGTCGCCGAATGAAGAAAGAAAATATATGAAGAAGACCCTTATAATATAAAACCAGATGATAAATGATAAATTGATTGTTGCCGCCTCTTTTTATATACTAATTCAAACCCTAAAAATAAGAGTTTAAGCTTATATCCAATTGAGACTTCTTTTTCAATAAAACTTCTTTCTTTTTTTTAATTCTTTCTATAACAGAATTTTAGATAGCTGATAATAGCTTTCTGCTGGCTCATTATTGCGTCGAGAACTATTGGCAGCAACGAAACTGAATGCAAGTTAAATTCTGAATCACGTAACTCGCAACATCACGACAGATCATTTATAAGCATTATCACAAAAAAAGGAGTCACATTAGTCCCAAAATTCATCAACTCGTTATCATAATGCATTTAATGCAAATCACTATCACAAAAAAAGTAGTCACATTAGTCCCAAAATTCACCAACTCGTTATCATAATGCATTTAATGCAAATTATACTAAAATCCTCCAAATATGATCCTAAAATATTAAAGTACAAGCTCAAACCTAAGTAAAAGGCTCTAAATAATAACTCTTTTGGAGAGTTATCATGGTACTATATGGTCCCTGAATCTCTTTGTTCTACGCTCAAAGTTTATAGAACTTCTCTAAGAGTATGAAGAAGAGGATGAAACACTAGTTGGCCTATTACTTCAACCAACTCCCTCTCCTTGTCTTAGAAGGACATCATATTGTACCCTCATTTACGAACATGGCAACTATTATAGTTAGGAAAGAAGTTCGCAAGATCCTTGATAACTCCGTAAAAAGGCTACTTTTAAGGCCTTTTTCACTTAAGTTATTGTTTGTTTAAAGGTTCATTTAGGTCAATTTAGATGCATATAGCTGTAAATAGTTGCATTTCTGGTGGATGTGCTATTTTATTTTGTTATGGTACTGTATGAGAAGGAATGTGTGGTTTTTAGTGATGTGTAGGAAATAACAAGAACAAGGGTGAGCTGGGAAGGAATGTCTTGACATCACACATTGCTGAAGCAGATTGAAATGCCTTGGCATTTCTGGCGCAGAAAATGATAAAAATATATTTTTAACAAAAGAACAAATGGCAAAGCTCATGTCTGATGGTTATAACCGCCTGCTGGGGACCATTGCCACCTGTGAGGACAGACTTCACGCACAAGAGATGACTCTAGAGGTATGATGGGTATTTTTAGTGCAAAATCCCAAGAACACCCTTAGATATTTTTATTATAAAAAGACACTATATAAGAGAGAGAAAGAGACACACTATAACAAAAAGTTCTCCATTTCCTTCATCTTCTTCACTTTGCCTCCATTTTTTTAGTGGTGTTCCTCCATTAACGAGCTCTAAGGAGTGGAAAGTTAGGCATCCGAGAGGAGATAGCGAGCTAAAATGGTTCATGGTGACCAAGGAGAGCTCCAACAGTGCACATCAAAGGCTTTTTCCTCCTTCCCCTTTGATGTTATTTGTCATTTGATTTGGGTTGAAAGGAACAAATGATTTTTATGAATTATTTCATGGATGATTCGAACCCACCCATGAACTAGTTTTATTTGGTGGGGAGTTCACGATGGATGTTAAGTTTTTATTTCAATGGATGATTGTTCTTTTTCTAGGATTTTATTTGTTTTGTTTATGGAGCTTAATGTCTTAAGGTTTTATGAGCTATGAGAGTAGCCATTCCTTAGGAAAATACTTAGTGTTAGAGAGAAACTAAGTAGCTCATCTTAGTGTTCGAGAGAAACTAAAGAGGACTCACATAAACAATGGGTTTTATATAGTAACTAAGCCTAATCCACCTATAAACAAGGCTAGGATTTCAATCGACTAAAAGGAGTAGTGCTTGGTCGAGAGGGTAGATGTTAATGTGAATATTGAATGGTATTGCCATGACATATTCTGTTAGACTGATGGGATCCTTGCACCTGCTAACGCCAATAGGTATTGCCATGGCATTCTCAACTTGTCGAGTCCCTTGACTAGAGATAACATAAGGAACTTTTAGTAAACTCTGTCAGGAAAGTAAAACATAGAAATGCAACCATCTTGAGAGGTTAGACTTAAGTTTCTTAGTGACTCCTACCATTCATTCCCGTAGTAGCTTGTTGTGTGAGGATTATCAAGTCTTCATTATATTTGTTTTTTTATCTTTTGTTTTGCCTTTATATTTTCACTTTATTTCACTACACACAAATTGTTTTGCCTTGACATTTACATTCATTTTTCCTCTACATCACCATTTACTACCACATTATACCATCATTCCATCCCCACCAATATCTATTTCCTTGACATCTCTCATTAGTGCATACCATTACTAACTATACTTAGATAGAGTAGTGTTTTGCTTTGGTTAAACTTTATAATTTCCACCAATCCCTGTGGAGACGATATCCACTCATCACTTTATTACTTGAGCGATTATGTATACTTGCACATTATTTGCATATAATTTTATAGTACTCATTACACACAACACTCATTTTTCTCCCATAATAGAATCTACCTAATAGGGGATGAGTTGCTATCATTATAGGGCCAAGCTTCCCCATAGTGAGGGACATTTGTCAAAAGTCCCTCAGGAAAGGTATTAACTTCAATATCATCCTATCCATTCAAAATTCTCTCTATTAACTAGTGTCACCACACGTTTCTCATGGTGAAAACCTCATTGAACCTTAAAAAATGCCCCATTTGTAGCCTTCAACCTGCTTCACCTCCTCAAAGGATAATTCGCTAGGGACCCCACAACTACTCTTAGCAGGTCTACACCAAATTAGGTGGAAGAAAAATTGTGTGAACCATTGTTTTTTCTTTATATACTTCACCCTTTTTAGGTAAACCATGGTGGATACATTACTCATCATCGACAACATTTTAGGATGAAGGTTACTCACAACGAACCATTTTGCCTTCTTATCGTTGGCGGCTCTAACATTGTAGTCTTATATAATACCTTCACTGATGATTCTTCCCCATGAAGCTTACAATTCAGGAAGTAATTCATTAGAACATACCAACCCAACTCTGATAGTTATGTTGGGGTTATTGTAAACTAGTTAAACCACTCCATAAAGAAAAGATGGAGCGACAAATGAAACTTTGCCTCAAAAGCATATAATGGCATAAAAACCAATGGTTTTCCCCTCCACTATCTCATTCAGACAATGAGATCCATGCGTAATACTTGATCAATACCGAAAGTTATCCCAATAGCACATTCTCCTACACTCTAACATCTAAGACAAATCCTACCCCGATGTAGAGAACTCATACTCATCACTCATCACCACTGCTAAAGGTTCAATAGAAGATATTGGTAAAAGAAAAGTTAAGGGGTGCACTTGATAAATGATTTCTCGAATGAGATTGAAGAAGCTAAGACTGTATATGGATTGTTGGTGAGATATGGGTTCATTTGCTTGTGCAATGGCTCTGTTGTTTTCACAACAAAGTTTTATAGCATTTGATATGCTAGATATAACGCTTAAATGCACCATTACCCCTTAAATTATGCCCATTTTACCGAGTTACCCCTTAAATTATTATTCGTGATGTTTTACCCCCTAAAGTATAATTGTTACCTCATTTGGCCCAAATCGTTAACTCCGTCACAAAAGATGTGGGTAAATTACATATTTAGTCACTCCACTATTTATGCGGTTCTATTTGAGTTACCCAACTTTTTTTTCTTCAAAATCATCACTAAACTTAAGATTTTGTTACGTTTTGGTAACCCAATTTGATTCAATTTACTTTTAAAATTTTTAATAATTAAGAATTCATTTATATTATATTTTTTACTCAATACATAAATTTAAAATAAGTAATATTATAAGATAAATAATAAACAACATATTAAATTGTATGTAAGTAAATTCTATTAAATGAAATACTGGTTATTTATTTAAAATATCATAAATTAGAATTGCACAATGTATGAAGAAACACTTATCACCAACCAATTTAGAAACTTTTATAGAAATGATAAAAATATTTTTTTTCACACCAGAAAAATGGTTAGTCGTGCCACTTCCAATAAAAAAGAATGGTTTACCTAAGTAGACCTA